GTTGATATTTAGTCGACTAATAAATGATAAATAAGGGAAACAGCTTAAAATAACTGATTAAAGAAGGCTCAATACTTATAACTGAAATTTTGAACAACTTGTATTGCATCACTATATCTGATTCTTCTCTTTCTAATAATACAAAAAAGGAAAAAAAAAACCCTCTCATATATCATTGTTTCTGCTGTCTGCTTGCCATTTTTTTAATTTCTGGTATGTCAAGAAGAATAACCATACATTGTTCACCTTGATTTCGACACTACGTCAATCTGATATTAAAGCAATGTGATATAAGGAAAATTTTCACAATTTGCTCACTGTTGTTTCCAAGCTGTGTTAGCTTGGTAACGAAAGAATTTAATGTGAAGAATAATTACTGGACATCGTGAATCCTGATTTCCACATTTTGCTATTTGATGCATTAGAAATATGACAATAAAATTTTGATTTAGATAAAAAATATGAGGAAAAGATGAAAATGTTAGCTTGGAAAATTATTAAATGGTAGTTGAAATTATTTTGGAAGAGTATAATGAACAAAATAATATGGTATATTTTAAATTGATTCAAAAAAGTGATATTTTCTTTAAAGAAGCATGTAAAGGCAAAATTTATATTTAGACGGGATACCTAATAAGATTTTCATTGTTATGGTTGATACAATTAGGGATATAAATGAGCCGAGCCGGCTCGTGAGCGGGCTCAAGCTCAACTCACTAACGAGCTTGCGAGTCGAGCCGCTAGCTTGAGCTTGAGCTCGAATATTAAACAAGCTCAAGTCCAAGCTCAGCAAAGCTCGGCTTGTTGGCTCAAAAAATTAATTTATACATTAAGGTCTAATCAAAAGATGGTTTTAAAAAAATGCGGTTCTACAATTCGTAAAAGTACATTAAAGAAACATAAATGAAGTTGTATAATTTAAAGAAACATTAAATGTTGTTGTACGATCTTCAAAAGAAAATACAAAAAATTTAGTAATGCACATGTAAGAAAAGTTAAAAAGCATAATCTCAATTCCCAAATCTTGCCATTTCGCCGAACATCGATCATTTATCCTCCGTCATTTCTCTTTCTTCTTTGAGATGAGCGCCAATCGTGCGGAACTTTCCTCTTCCTCGACAATGACCAAGACCTCCGGTCTCAATCTTCCTCTATCGAACTTCTCTTTTTCTTGGAGACGACGAAGCTGAGCTCCCTCAACTTCTTCTAGAGCCGAGCTCTCGAGCTCGAGTAAAAATAGACGAGTTGAGCTCAAGCTCGTTTTATTGGCTCAACTCAAGCTTGAGCTCAAGTTCGAGTTTCTCTTTTGAGGGACTAATCGAGCTCGAGTTTGCTGCAACTCGAGCTCGACTCAACTCGTTTGCACCCGTAGATAGAATGATGTAGCTAATAGTCTTTTGGGAAATTTTAAGACAAAAAATATGTCAAATGATTGGAGAACAAGTATTTGGGTTTCATTAAAAAAATAATAGAGTAGTTGAGTATTGTAGTATTTATAAATGAATGCTACCTATTTGTTATATAAAATGAAAGTTCTAGGATAGTATTGAACATAGACTTTGAAAAATGAGTTTTTTATGCTAAGGCAATCTAGAAGAAGCATGTTGGTGTCACTTAAGAATGAAGGTATTCCAAGTTGTAGTAATTATAAATAAACCCTACATTTGAGTCCTACAATTAAGTTATAGAAAACTAATGAATATAAATTTTGAAAATTTATGTGTTTATAAAAATATTAATTTGGTTTCATGTAATGAATATCTACTATAGATTTGATTACTTTGCTATGGAAATTAATTGAAAATCATGGTAAAAAGGGTATTGACATGGTTTTGATTGATCATAAGTAGGCTTATGTTCAAGTATCAGGAGAATTGATTTGGCATGCATTAATGAAAAAAAGATGTATTAACAATATGTTGAAGTCGTTAAAATATACATGATGGAGCTTTGTAGTTGAGTGATCACATGTTTCCTAATTATATTTGTATTAAATCAAGTATCAACAATAAATCTAGATTTTTAATATTTTCTTATCTAGTATTTTCCAAGAAATATTTATAATGAGGTTCATTGGATTATGCTTTTCACATGTGCATAATTTTAATCAGTGAGACATAAGCAGGTGAAAATTTAAAATATTAGAGAAAATTTTTAGTAGAGAAAATTTTTAGAAGATAAAAGATTTAGATAAATGGTATTGAATTATAACTGTTGTATTATGAAAGATAATATTCCGTCATGATAAAGTGATATTTAGGTGTAAGAATAAGGTTCTCACTAGACATTTGCAAGAGGATGTACCTTGATGTATGCTTTTTGCTGATGATATTCTTCTTGTTGATAAGACTAGAGAGGGAGTTGAAGGTAAACTTGAATTATGGAGGTCAACGAGTCTAAAGGTTTTTGCTTGAGTAGATCTAAGACGGAATATATGGAGTGTAATTTTAGTAGTAATAGACCTAGTGAGGGGATTGTGACTTTGGGCGATCTAGTCATTAATAAGAGTACACGTTTTATATATATTGGATCTATTTTTCAGAGTGATGGTGAAATAGATGGGGATATTATCAGCAAAATTCAAATTGGATGGTTGAAGTGGAGGAATGCATCGGGATTATTATGTGATAGAAATGTACCCCTCAAACTTAAGGGAAAATTCTATAAGATGGTAGTGAGGCCTGCAATGATTTATGGTGCCGAATGTTGGCCATTAAAAGAGAAGCATAATACTAAGTTAAGTGTGGCAGAGATGAGGATGCTCAGGTGGATGAGTGGCTTTACTCTTAGAGATAGGATACGAAATGAACATATATGTGAAAAGGTTGGAGTAGCTCCAGTAGAAGATAAGATTAGAGAGAGCCGCCTTAGATGGTTTGGTCACATAAAACGGCGGCCTTCCGCTGACCCGGTTAGGAGAGTAGAGGTATTAGATTTGACTTATGTTAAGAAAGGTAGGGGTAGACCTAAAAAGACTTGGTTAGAAAATATTAGGAATGACCTTTCTTTATTAGATTTAAACGAGAATTTGACTTTTAATAGGACACAATGGAGAAAAAGGATTCATGTAGCCGACCCCACGTAGTGGGATAAAGGCTTGATGTTGTTTGTTGAATATACTCTATAAGATTAAGCATAAATGATCAAGATTTTGTGGTAAAATAGAAAAGTATCTCAAGTGTATTAGGTGATTAGAAAATAGCATAGAACTTATGGTGAACTTTTATAAAATTATAATTTGGTTGTTTATGTTTTGGATTAAAGTATTGAATGAAAATAAAAAGGTCATTAATAGCTAAGTTGAACTTGAATGAAATGAGAATGGTAAGATGGCTATATCATGAAATTAAGAATGATGAATTGAGGAATGATTGCATTAGAGGAATGATGGGAGATTGTATTACATCAGGCATCTATTTAAATTTAGATGGTGGATAATAGAATTTAGAGGTTTGGATAATTTGACCAATTATATTGCGTTAGATTAATATATAAGTTGGTCAATATTTCATGATATTTTATTCAATAAGAATAGCTGATGCATGACTCAAGTAAATAATGTAGTTTCATAAATAGACTAGCATATTGAGTATATAATTTTATTGATTCTCAATGCATATTTGTTTATTTTGTTTTTGTTTCTATCCTCTAAATAAGGGCTTTTATATTTTGAGTTGAAGCAATGAGGACCCACAAAATTCCTCCTAATGCATCTCTCTTCTCTCTTCCCTTGTTTAATCAAGAGCCTCAAAGGAGGCACCTATCCTCCTTGGCTTCTTTCGTGTTGGAGGCCTTCACACCATCTTTATATCCAAGGTTGACTATGATGTATACTATGTTCTACTTCCAAATTTCGGACCACTAGGATCCAATTCGATAAAGGGGACGCTTACCAAACACTTTTTACCTTTGAAGAAACAAAGAAAAATAAAGACAGCTGAATATCTTTTGGGATGGCGTTTTTGAGTGAAAATGACACTTTGAAGGTAGCTCTCTTTTAGTAGTTCAACTAATATTTAGAACCGACAGTGAGTGAGATTTTTTTTAGTTGTTGAAATATAATCATCCTTTCTAAAATTAATTAAGGAGCTTTCCCAGAACTAGTGCAATTGAGCTATGAGTGGTATTATTGGCAAGAATTACAAGTGAGGATGTTCTTTACTGTAATCTTAGTTTCTGTTGATTAGTTCTTACTACTATTAAACTTTCTTGCATGAATTTAAGTTTATCTTGTACTGGTTACTTATTGTATCTGTACCATTCATATGTTAAGATTTTTACCCAATTTTGTGAATGTTCTCATTGGAATTTGGTGCCACTGGGCTTCCACCATGCGTAACAATTTGAAGTTGGCAAAATAATGGTAGAGGATATGAACCCAAAACCTTTTTTTAGCATCCCTGAACAAAGCTGCTCAAAATTACATTTTATTTGTGATGAAACTTTTTATTAGTATGATTTTTCAAGCTAAGAATAAATTTATTCAACCCAGATATTTATGAAATGTTTAGTTGACATTTATTGCAAGCAAACTCAGACATTTTGTGAGATAAACAATGTTGCATTTATGTTAAATTTTTATGTTATGCGAGAAATCAGGTTTAGTGCTTATCCATTCAACTTTAATTCACAAGTCATTCATATTTTCCTGTAGCTCATACTATAAATTAAAATAATGCGCTTATTATGCCAACCAATATGAATATACTGCAGTCGTGTGAAACATAATTAGCAGGTATATCTTAATTTTCTACCTTAAAAAAAGGTAGAGGTAGACCTAAAAGACTTGGTTAGAAAATATTAGAAATGATTTTTCTTTATTAGATTTAAATGAGGATTTGACTTTTAACCAAACACAATAGAGAAAAAAGGATTCATGTAGCCGATCCCACATAGTGAGATAAAGAATTAATGTTGTTATTGTATGAATACTTTTGATGTTTTACTTGTGCTTCTTATATATAGTTTCTCTTATCAGTAATAATTCTTGGCACTTGCAGTCTTGAAGAAAAGGAAGGACCGGCTCATGATACAAAATTCTTATGCTCAGTTAAAGTTTTCTGTAATAATGAAGCATATTTTGCTTTTGGAGACCTCAAATCTAGGTTGAGGGAAGCTGAGAATTCAGCAGCGTACAAATTACTTTGCCAACTTCCTACATATTAACAATTAGGTCTCATCCCTTTGATTCCAGCGCAAGTTTAAACATTTTAGGCTACATTTTCTCTATTAGCATCTCTTGCCCATGCCATTTGGAATTCTCTCAATCTGCCATATTCCAATTTGTAATAGCTTAATAGAAGCTTTTATCTTTTTACTGTATATAGTCATTTATCATGTTATCAGTTCTTGAAATGTGCCAATATTTGCTCGTTGATTTCTCTAAGAATGTTGCAGTTGCGATAATTAAGGTTATCAAACCCATAGTTTAATATGTGCTTGTGAATACTAATGCAGTGTAGGATGCTTACAAAGGAGATTAGCATCTTCCAATTTCAGGTGGTGGCCAGATGATGCCATCATTGTTTTTATAGTAGGCACTTTCAGTGTCAGCTTCTGGATGAGGAATGAATGTAATTTAGGCTTCGTTTGAGACGACTTTCTCACTGTTTTTAAAGCAGTTTTTTAGTACAAAAATTAAAATTTTTATACTAGAAAGCTTATTTAAGAAGCAGTAAAAAAGCCGCCCCAAACGAAGCCTTAGTCGTGTAAGATGGCTGATGCAAATTAATTATTGTCGCATGGATTTTAATGTTTCGTTTGGGATAGTTTTTTTTATCGCTTTTTATAACAAAAGTTTATAGTTCAAAATTTTTTTTGTACTAAAATGCTGATTTAAAAGCGATAAGAAAGTCGTCACAACCGGAGCCTAAATTATTAAAGAAAAATAGGTCAAATAAGCTTAAAATGAGTCTTATCTAGATATTTTGGAAATTGGAAGGGTTATTATAGTACTTTACTATTTCTGTTTCTAAAGAATGGATGTAAGGAATATGCCTTCCCATGACTAGATCATGATTGTATGTCAAACCAACCCACATGGTTCTCGACTTGAATCACTATTATGTGTATTATTATTGAAAATTGATTAATTTAACTATTAGTAATATGTGACGTCCCAACTTAATATAACATATACGTTATAATAGATGACTTCGAGTAGGGGTACAATATAGGAGAGCATACTTTAATCTTTTAATTTGATGATTCACATCTTAATAATTTTGTTCTCTTAAAAAGTTAGGATCATTAGAGTTTATCATAGCTACAATGACATATACATAGAATTACTAAAATTATTATAGAAGAACAAGCAATGAATAAAATTTTTTATTTATAATGATATAATATTTCAACCCAAACAATATTCTTATAATATCATGATCATTTTCATTAACAACATCAAAAAGCATAAAATGAATTATGATTGTAAAATAAGATTTTTGTATCAAAATATCATCCAATGCTTACTTCTATTTTTGAACAAGTTTAATAAATTCCTTCATTGTGCTTAGCCTTAGCTTATACAAATTTCTTAGTGTAAGGACATCCTTATAGGATCATCATAAATGGATTCTTAATGAGACTAAAGAAATTTAAAATTATAAAGTGACTCATACCCTGTATAGGACTCTTAAGACTCATGGACTAGGTTATACCTAGCTTGACTCAAATGGCGCGCATGATCCTTAGGAGTTTATCCTAAACCTTCCTAATGTAACAAGAAATCTCTTATACTTTTTGTAAATCAATTTGTGATGGGTTGAATCCAAATTGAAAACTTAATAAATAAATAAATCTCTAGGTGACCCTTTAGTTTCTATTGGACCATCCAGGGTCTAATCAAAGTAAACATGCCTAGGAACTACCTAATGACTTCAGGACACTACCTATTTACCCTACGTAGATAATATGCCCCATTAAGTCGATCTTTGATCAACTATATGTTAAACATAGAAGAACCCTAAAATCTTATCCTTTTCAAGTATTGTGTTACCCTCATTCGGCTAACTTTAGGTGGCCCATGACATTAAATTTTACTTGAGGTACCCTTAACTTACATTTAGATCCCATCCAACTGGATCAAAGAACCTTGGTCAACCTTTTTGACACATGGCCAAAGTAGGATTGACCAAATCCTCCCTTTAACCCTAATTTACTAAAATTAAAGTTCAATCCAACAAATTAAACTAGTATTGTAAGCTTTCATCTTAAATGATTTAAACCCATTTTAAGTGTACTTGGACTCAAGCTTGACCCCATTGTCAAAGTCTTTTGACAATGTTAAAAAATGCAAAACCTTAGGGGACTTACATTACATCAACTTGAACTAAATATAGTTAAAATTAAGTCAAACACGTGGACGTTGCAGTGCTCAACTGTCAGAAGCGCCACGATGCTATAGTTGTAACCATTTAGGCAGCGATCTGCCAGGAAAGCGGTGTTTCAATTTATTAAACAGCAGGTCCATGTCAGCAAGCGTTGCAGCAAAGATAACCCTTCAGCGCTCCAACATTAGTTCATTTTATGATTATCATGACAAAAGTGTCTTAAGTGCTGTGGTGCCAGTATGCTTTTTTATGTTTCTCTATAAATAACCCATTTGTAATGTTAGTAGGAGAGTTCAGTCACTTGTTTAGTTACAATTTTTATAGTACTTCTCTGATTTTTTCTTAGGAGTGACAATTAAGGAAATTCAGAGAAGTACTAGATACATTCCATTAGAGTGCTTGACATATGTTCGTGGGAGCAATTTTGTAAGTTCAAGGAGTGTAGAGGAGATCATTGAACCCATTTAGTGATATCTTTTCTCTTATACATTCTTTCTTTTGTCCAATTATTGAAAATAAATTTGCTTTACTTGTTCTCATGTCTGAATAAATTATCTAGTATGGATTGATGGTTTAAATGGAACGTGGAGTACTAATGAATTCTTTTCATTAATAATTTCATAATGTTTTCAATAGATAAAGGTTTTTGTTTGATACACATAGTTGTCATATTTGTAGTTAATATCAGGTGTAATGTGGAGCCTAGAAATATAAAAGCAGGTACAACTAGATATATTGGATTGGTATGATGCAAGCATAGACATATTACTTATAATGTATAAAATTTATAGATATGAATTTTCATGAGGGGGTGTTAACAATACATGCTTTACTTACTCTTCTAAGATTTTCATAGGGTGATAGATTATGTGAGTTTAGAGTGGTATTGAGATTGGAAGGTTTAATCTGTCCCTTTTTTCTTCATGCTTGACTGAGATGTCGGTGATGTATATCCTCTGAATAACATCAATATAAAAGATAATAATTAGGAAATATATTATATTTACATTCCATCAATCCAAAATATTTTATCCAAATAGTATTTTATTTAATTATTTTTTATTTTAAATTAATTGATTGAATCTCAATTAAAACGTATTTTTATTGAGATTGATAATTATTATAGTTGATATACACAGCATTAGTATTTGCAAGTAAACATTACTTTTTGTGGGATCATTGCTTTACTCTATCATTATATTACTTTATTTGACATGTATACTTATTTTTTATTTATTTTTTTTATTTTAGAAAAAACCCAAGGAGTGGCCTACACGTTAATATAAGAAAAAATTATAGAGTCCTTAAAGAGCCCTCATGCTCACTAATGCTCAGAAGAGCTACAAAAATAAATCCAAAAAAAATCTAGGAGCTCGAGGTCCCTACTAAACAAAAATACAAGTAAACCTAGGTACATTCTACGGTGTGCAAGAAAGAGCACCCAAAAAAATAATCCAAAACATAAGAAAGCAACAAAAATTCGCATTCAGCTCGAGTTCCCCATCCAAAATGGTCTCACCATAAGTATATGCACTAAGAATATTATGTAAAACAAGAGGAGGTCTAAAATAGAGGAAACAAAAATAACCATACAAGAGAAAAAATGGATAAGTCTAGCCACCACCAATAGCCCTACCATAAGGAAACCAACCACACCAAGCACTAGTGAACCAAAATGAACAACAATAGATCCTATTCATCCAAGCATGAGAAAGAATAGGCATAAATCCATAGTTGGTATGTAAGAAATACCCAACTTGGTAGTCCATGTTAATGGCCAAAACCCACAACATAGTCCTAGCAAAACCAAACCAATTGGGGACATCCCTAGCAACACCCATCCATCAAACTGAGAGAAACTAGAAAATAGCCAACTGCACATCCCAAAATTTTCCCATTCACAGAAAACAAAGAACCAAGCCACAAAAAAACTTGCCCTTAATTAACAGCATAGCTGAGAAGATCCATAGAAAAAACCTGAGAAACACCCCCACCAAAACACGAGCAGAAGAAACAGGCAGCACACCTCCACAATGACACCCAACAAATTGGGATAAGAGCATTTAACAAGAATAATGTTGTCATCAAAATAAAAACAATAAGACAAATAAAAAGGATCCCCAAATACACAGAAAATACTATAACAACAACAATCATCACACCACTCAGCAAGGCCCAAAATAGTAGAGCTCCATAAAACATCTCCCAAACTCACATCCAGGAAAAATAAGTAATTCTTTAAAATAATCACCGAGCAACACATAGGAGCATTTCCATAACAAAAATACACCAATGCAGCACCCTAGGTTAAATAAAATAGAAAGCACCACCAAAAGGCTAACCAAAAGGCCATATGAATAGCCAACCAACCAAAAACCTGGGAACCAAAACAACATAAACTTGAGCCACTAAACCCAGCAGCAACAAAATGGCTCTAGCAAAACTAATCCATCAACAACCACGAGCAGACCAAAACAAAGGAAACCACATGGCAAATCACAAGGTCGAAATACCCAACCACATTAACTTCTAACATAAGGGGTACCAGTTTTTTCCAATATAAGAAGCACTTTAAAAGGACAAGTATGTTTTTTGCTGCAAGATTAGTAAAACAATCCAAATCAGAACCCCAATTGGCCAACCATTCAACAAAGGCATTCCCCTCCTATACACATGAGAAAAAAAGGCATTAATAATGATCATTAACTATTTAATATCCCTCACTAGATAAAAAAGATTAGAATTATACATAGAATCATCCATACAATTTAAGCATTGAATAGAATAATTAGAATCAACTTCAATACCAATGTTAGAAATATTCAGAGAAATACATAATCTAATCCCATGAAAAATAGCCAAGAGCTCAGCAAAATTCACATCACAATTTTGTAAGGAACCCGCAAAAGCCATAATAATGTTACCACATCATGAATAATCATGATTAGTAGCACCCTTCACATTCAAATTATAAATTTTATTGGGTGGTTGATCCATTAAACAGTCCTAGGTCCAAAAGGAGAATGATGAAC